CGAGGATGATGTCAAATTCTTTGTACGGTAGTTCGATAAGATTGACAGAGAACTGATGTCCTTCAACAATCAATGGGCAGTTTTGATACACATGATCTAACCTCATACTATGTCCTAACGGGTTAGACACTAGTATAGGTTGTTCTAAATGTTCTTTCATTATGTCAGCTTTTTCAGGCATTTGTACACAGATATAAGACAAAGTTGATCCGGGGTCTATCAACACATGCATGACAGTATCAAATAAGGAGAACATACCCTGGATGACGTCAGGGTTCTCCTCAATTCGTGCTTTCATTGCATATGTACGAGCAGGAGCTTGTCCTTGTTGTTGGTTCTGATTCTTGGCTGGATTAGACCCCGCTGTTGAGCGTTGACTTGGTGCAGGTCGTGCCGATGCTGCTTGACTAACAACAGGGGCAGGTGGATACGGTTCTCCGGGGTTTGTAGGGCACTCCTTTCTAAAGTGTCCTGGTTTTCCACAGCCGAGACACAACCCTTGCTTAAGCCAGCATTCTCCAGGGTGATTCCTTCCACAGTGCTCGCAAGCTGGATACCTCCGCTTTTTGGACTTATCAACGGATGCCATCGACTGAGTTTGTACAGATTTTCCCTTTTTAGAGAAATGTGAATTGCTAGGTTCTTGAAAGGGCCTTTTCCCTCTTGAGGCAGAGCCGGTGGGACGGTGAGGGCTTGAGCTGACATTATTTGTCTTCAGATACTCAATGCAAGCACTCAAGTCGATGTCTGCCCTGGCAATGAGATCGTAGGCCACCGCGAAATCCACAGTGGTTAGAACAGATACACGTGACCTGAGGTCAGGTCGAAGTTTCTTCCTGAACTCCTCAATGCGATCGGTTGGGGTATTTACTAAGGTTGGTGCAAACTTTGCGAGTTTGGTAAACTTCTGACGATATTCAGGGAGTGTCATGTCTCCCTGTTATAGTTCAACAAATTCCTTACGTCTTTCCTCGCTAAATCGTTTCGGAATATATTCTTGCTTGAATGCCCATTCGAAATGTGCCCATGTCCACGGCTTAGGGGTTCCCGCACTCTCATCCGTCCTCTTCCACCACTCGTAGGCTTCCTTTCGAAGCAATTGAGAAGCCAGTCTGGGATAATTGTCCATGGGTACATTGGGATCTTCCAACACTCGGGCAGTCTGCTCGATCTAGTCCCACGCAATCTGGGGTTCACCGATGCGATCCCCAAGGAATAAATCTGCACCGTTATCTCTTAGCGTTTTGTAGGTTATCACTCGAGGTGGCGGTGGTGGAGGTGGTTGAAACATTGGCGCGTTGGCTATTTGTTGCAACACATTAGCTAGAAAAGTTGGAATCACAAGGTCGGGTTGACCACCAGCGTTTGGGTTATTCCCAACATTTTGTTGATTGACGGGTTCATTTTGGACGGGAGGGGTGAAACTAGATGCTTCAGTATGAACACTGACGTGTTCATTGTTGCCTTGTCCGTGGGCGGATTCTTGACTCATTCTACAATAACAGAAATTCCTTTATTAGGATTCTTTTATTTTAGTAGTTGAGTTCATGACAGGAATTGCAAAGGATTACAACATTCGATACAATTAATGGATTTGAAACAAACAACGAGAAAATTTCTAAA